GGGGGGGGGGGGGGGGGGGGGGGGGGGGGGTTGAAACAGCCATGGGCAGGTTAGAATTCCACATCACTTACATTTGATTGGATTGATTCCAAACTGAGTCAGATCTATCTGACCAGTTCGCAGCACCTGTAATAAAAGGAATACTTGCAATTTATCAACAAACGCCAAAGAATAAAGCCCAAAATAAAATCTTTACAAAGAAACAGAGGTTCTGAGGCCTCACATATGTAAATGAATCTAATTGTTGGCGGAATGGAGAGCACTGTAGCAATTCTATTAACTCCTCCGAGGTCCATTGACCCTGCAACCTCACAAGAATCTCATGAATTGAAGGACATATAAAAAAGCTACTACTTTGGAGATACATGATTGTCATATTTTTACCTCAGGTAAGTATGACGCCAATTGTTGTTCCAATGGTAGTTCATCAATAAGTGGCAATATAAATTCTGGCTTCAAAATATCACCTAATCCCAAGCCTAGAAAACCAGGAAATGTTAACAATTTTCAGTAGAAGAGAAGAGGAGAAGAGCCATAATAGTCGAGCCAAAAAAAGTTGGATGGTGTATGGTGAAAATCTCAGAGGAATGTAATCAGTAGAGTCCTTGTATGCATAGTTCCATTAAAGAGATGAGATTTGTCCAAACAAAATTTCCCATAGCATGAATGGCAGAAATTCAGTGAGCACAAAAACTAATAAAACATATTGGTAAACAAACAAGACCATAAAATTTGAGTAAATTTAAAATGAGAAAAATTATTGAAACTCAGACATCTTGATGTCTGCAGAAAGTTTACCAGATCTTCAATAAGACGTGCATTAACATACAACTCTTACCAATCAGCCAAACCTAATAGATGCTAGACATAATTGACAACATTTTATGCTATAAGGTCTATATTAATAGGAAAGTCGATAAAACACACAATAAGTGCAGTTGTGATATGGTAACCTGTAGACGAATGTTATGGAAAGTTTAGAATGAATCCCGAAGGTACCTGCCTCTGGATCTCCTGCTTCATCTACGTTAACAACAAAGAAATAACACATTTCATCAGCTGAGACCAAATTGAAAGCAAGAGTACAGGCAGCAGCTTGTTCTCAAAAGAGAGATGCAAACACCTGCTGACCCTATGTTACTTAATATTCTCTGCAGATCTGCCAATTTTACTGGTCCAGAAGAGGTAACTTCGCTAGTTCCTTCAGCATCCATGCCTGGGCCCACCAAATTGCCAGCCCTATGAAAGTAGAAACAGCCATTATATCACAGCATTCTTCTTTGAGGTCCTATGGTGGTACTGGAACAATATTTTTTTCTTCCTTTTCATTACTCAACTAATTGATTTCTTTTCTTGGTTGGTATGGTAGGGGGAAAGGGAGAGGGAGATTGATTAATTTAGCAGAAAAGTATCTTCAGATTTTTTCTGCAATGTCCTCTAATGTTGTAATCAACATAAACTGAAAATACAGGAAATGAAGTATCCATAAATTATCATGAACGCCAGATTTAGCATGACAGGTAAAAAATATCACAAGTTTGCTCTTGCAAAATGCAAATCTTACCTTGATGAAATATCTTCTTCAGCTATATCTTTGGAAATTGAAGAAGGAACTGAAGCGTCAGGCTCCTTTTCATCAAGTAACTCTATAACCACCAAATCCAAATCGCATCCAAGTTGATAGAAAAATGCCACATCAGTAAAACATCAAATAGCTGAGAAATAAAAGTTAATTATAACACATTAAAATCATGTACTGGTGACTGATGTGGGCATGTGTCAAGAATCTTGGATTAGATGAACATCCTAGCTAGGGGGATGGGGAAAAGTTAAATGATTTTCTTACCCTGTCACGATATATTTACGGTAATATATGGTCCAATGAAATTAAGTTATTCAAAATCCACATTCGACTCTATCTGAAATAGGTTCATTACCAATTGCCCAACGTTTATGTTCTTCCAATGTTCATAATAATACAACAGGCAGCACTAAGACACGTTTGCAAAGTGATATGGAAAAAGAACAAAGCAGACTATCCAGATTGTAGATGAGTGTTTGAATACCTGGAGGATGATTCAGGTACAAATTGACGGAGGTACATATCTGTGTATCACTTTCAGATTTGGTTTCCTAGAACCAACAAAAGTAACACAGTGTTAGCATCTCAGACCATTTGCATATGGCCCAAAGACACCTTACACCTGACCTGCATCCAAAAGAAGAACTTCCTGTCATCCATATGAAACTTCAGGGTGTAAACCCTTCCAGAAGATTGATTAACCTGAACAATATAGATAACTCAACAATCAGCTGAAAGTATTATGAATGTGAAAAGAAAGAAAAATATTATAGGAAACAGGGCCAAAAAAATGTACCTTTTCAAAAATTGCTTCATCTGGAAAGACAATTTGGTCCTGTATACATCTTATGTGAAGAAATATGTTGCAGCCAAAAGAGAGTAGACAAAAGTAGTAATATCAGAATGGGAAAAGAGCAAGAATAAGGTGTCCCTCATCCTAATAAAGATGTGACATAGGTCAGAGATCGGCCCAGCCACTGAAAATGGATTAGCCCTTCTTCACCCTATCAAAAATAGAAAGACACTTCCACTCAAAGGATGTGAATTTAACAATTATACCAGAAATTAAACTACACCCAAACATAGGAAACTTTGGAACTTTTAGGAAGAACACCAAAAAAAATTAAATGTGAACAAGAGGACAAAATTAACAGAGACAAATTTGCCGTAATCACTCATACCCTTCCAATTCGAGCAAGTCCTTTACGAGAATCAGGGATAACACGGTTTCCCTCCATAAGCATTTTCCCCACACGAAACTCCAGTAATATTTCCTGTCCAATGGAAGGACTGTTATCTAATCATAGGCCCTCCTAATCTTCGGAATAGAACAGATCTTATGTTGAAAAAATAAATAAGGAAATATGAACTTGTCATACGATCTTCATCTCATTCTCCACCCCCACCCTACCTCACCCCAACAACACCACACCCACACACACCCCATACCAAAAAATGGCAAGTGAAATCCTATATTCTTGCTCCTACAAACAAGTAACGAGCCAAATTTGCCAAACTTAATAAAGCATGTTGCCACTTTCTAAACAACAATGAATGTCCAAGCAACAGGAAACGTTCTTCTCCAAAGGAGGAATATAAGATCATGAATCTTTTAGTGAGGCACATATAAGAAGAGAAGATAGCTTGATAGGTCATTGCATTTGCAACCATATAGTGTCATACCTCAAAATAAGTAAAGAATATCGTTTTCAAAAGCACATATGGCTTACACGTCGTACGAGGTGCTTATTAGAAACTCAAAGATTTTTCTACGATTGCTGTTTGACAAGGCTTATGATTTGCCTTAGCGAGGCACGAGCCTTGTCTTATGCTTTGAGTTCCTTATCTTGCATTTTCGGGTTATTTTCTTTGCCAGCCTCAACTTTTTGATCTAGTTTTCATCACCTAGAATGTTTTAAGGATTTTTGGATTATTTTAGTCACACTCAACCCCAAAAAAATAAAATAAAATAAATAAATACATGCTCCAATCTCTATTCCACAACTTAACTGTGATCTTCCAAGTCATGTTGCAACTTTTTCTATGGCAGCAAATGACTAACAACATGCATATTGATTCTTCCATTTTATATTTTACTTGCTTGTCTCTTAATTTTTCTTCTCTCGAGTTTTAATTCATTTTAAAGTCAAAGCAAATAAAATTCTTGAATAGTTGGTCAATTGTTTCATTTCGTTTGAAGTGTTAGTTCAAGTTTGAATTAGTGGTCTTGTTACGTGATTACTGCTTTATTAATTTATACTATTTATGTTTCTAGTTGCAAAAGAATAATCTTATTCACATGTTCTATTATGCATTTATAGACAGTTTCCGGTCTTTAACAGAATAATTTTGTATTTTACAATGTTTTGAATTAATTTACAATAGTATCTATTCAAAGCATCCCAAGAATTTCGTTGTGCCAGACAGAGGAAAAACACCTTGATACCTCTTAGATTTCTTAGACACTCGTATTATTATTTAACAATTTAAGCAAATACAAAAGGTGTATATTATCGTCAATAAGGAAAATAAGAAGGGTTTTACAAGCTAGATCACCTGATGTCTCCATATATTAAAATCTAATCTCATGTTAAGTACATGGATAGATCAATAAGAACATAACTTTTAAAGCTCAATTGCCACATCTATCATTAAATTAACCCAAGAAAATCCTAAATTCCCCATTATCAATTTACCATTAAAAGGTATAGAATCCTATTCCAGGACGGTCAATAGAAAGGGGGGGAAAAAGAACCAAATATAATTCTGTTCATCAAACATCCTCATTCCTCAAAAGCAAGGAAGAAGACAAATGCCACAACCACTACATCAGCCTATGAAACCTTTTGTACACAACTTTTCAAGGTCTAAACATCCCTGGTCATAGCTAGACGGAATTGATTGAAAAAATCAATGAAAACATCTCTGACTATCAATCACTCCTGCAAAAATGCCTCATCATCCGCTTGTTTAAATAAGCACTCACACACATGAAGAGGCAACAGCATAATAAATAAGCCTACTAAAAAGAGAGCTTAAATGCAATACAATTTGCCTAAAGTAATGCAGGAACCTTTACAAACATCAAGATTCTTGACTATCAAAATGATCGTGTAAGAATGTGTGAGAAGTGCTCCATACTCATTATATTTGTACCACATAGTTCATTATTTTGCTACCATTGAGAGTGTTTTAGAACGTTTTAATGTGTGTTTTGATGTTGTGATATAGGTCGATGAAATTGAATAAAATAAGCAAAATTTGGCGAAATTGGAGAAAATGCCAAATTGTAAGAGGTTCAAAGTACGGGGACTAAAGTGCAAATATTAAAAAATTGTGTCGAACTTCACGATGAAGATCCAAGAGTGTTAGGAGTCAATTGGATAAAGAAAGATGTCAAAGGGATCAAATTTTGGCAAAATATGATCACAAATCAATTTCCAACTGAAAAGTTACGCTCCGAAATTTCAGCCTCACATTTAGACCCTTTTTGACATAGCAAACGATCGAATTGGAGAATAATGTCTAAAGGAAAATTGTAACCCTTTGAGTTGTTTTTCCAACACATCTTGAATCACCTTAATCGGACATCGGACGAGAAAGTTATGCTAAAAATATTGAAAAACGTGCAATCTGTCATTTTCGGCCAAACCGGGCACCGCAGCACCCAACTCACTGAAAATAACAGCGAGCCCAGCGCCCATCTTGGGCGCCAAGGCGCTGGATATGGGGGGAAACATGTTTTTATATTTTTGGACTCTTTTCTTGAGCCAACTCAACCCTAATTTGTCTAAGACCCCAACATACTATAAATACCATTAAAAAAATCCCTATTTTCAAGAAGAATTGAAGAGGCCAAACACAACAATTGAAGGGGCCAAGATTGAAGACAATTCAAAGGAATTTAATTACAATTCAAAGGAGGAATCAAGAGAGGGAAGAACAACATCAAGAGAAGAAATTGAAGATCTACATCCTAGTTTTTTCCACTCTCTTTCTTATGTTTTCTTATATGAATTTTTGTGTCTCCATAGATTATATCATGAGCTAAATTCATATTCTAGGGATTGATTGTATCCAAAACTTGATATTATGGTTTGATTATGTTATAGCTACTTTTATTTAATTTTCCACATATGTTTAATTGTGTCATGATTTTAATGTTTTCAATTGATTGGCCACTAATTGAATGATTTGATGTTTTAGATTTCGGTGTTCGAGAGAGGCAAATTTAGGCATGATTATAGTATTGACATAACATAGATTTTATGGGTTTCAAGAGAAAATATAGAATCTATGAAGCTTACTCCATAAAAGAATCAAAATTTCAATAAATTCTTAATTTTGATTCGGAATAGAGATATTGAGATTGAAATTTAGAATTAATTTCTAGTTGGCGCTCGAGAGAGGGTAAGAAATACATTAGGATTCTTGCTTTTAAATATGGAAAAATTGATTAGAATAACTGGACATAATTGAATTGTAATTGATAGTTAGGTGAAATCATTCCCTAGGCTTTTCCATCTTGATTTATTCGTATAATTTGCATCCCTTGAATTCGTCACCAAAATCATCGTTAGATTAGTTAACAATATTGATTTCAAATTTCATTAGTTTAGATAAAATAGAAGCTACCAAATTATAGTACTTGGTAGAAATTAAATTACAATCCCTGTCGGTTCAACACTCTTACTTCAAAACTATATTACAAAACTTCACGCTGTACACTTGCGGTATAAATCGCGTTGCATAAAACACGTGGCAATGCGGCCAAGAATTATCTCCAAGTGGAACACAGAAAAAAGAGAGAGTGTGATGCAACACCAACTCGAACAATTAATTGAATGTGATGGGGGGAGGAAATTGAGGAAAAGTGATATAGAATAAGTTAAGAAGTAGCAAGAAAGAGAAGAAGAGGGATCACATAGGGGAAAGTGGAAGAAGAAGAAGAAGAGAACAGAGGAGAAGAGACGGGAACTGGGGAGGAGAGGAGGGAACTGTAATCACAAAATATTTTCATTCATCCCAAAAACTGCCTTCCAATCCTAATTACAATAATATAAATACCAAAATAATAAACTTGAGCTTGGGCCAAACCTATAAACAAGCCCAATGAGATATAAAGCCTAAAATAAATAAACAAAAGATAAAATAATCCAACAACTGGCCCAATAAGGATGATGTCCGCATCAACTCTCCCGAGGTGGGAGAAAAAACTCAACCCCGTCGAGGGGGTAGATCACAAAAGGCTGCTGTCAATCTCCTAGCCACAAACTGATCGGTTGAGCAAACTTCTTTTGATGTCTATAGACACGCAAGGGTGGTGGTCCGGGTAAGGGAAGATCTTGTTGACTCTTATAATGCTCCAACAAATCAGGATCAAGCTGTTGAAGTGTCTCTTTGGAGATCCAAGTACAATCAGAATCAGGATGGCCCTCCCAACGAACAAGAAAGCGCTGAATGTCTCCATCCTTGGTTAATATGGTCTGTGCATCTAGAATAACATCAATTTTATCTTTATGTGCTACAGCAGGTGGAATTGGGGCAGGGATAACATGCTCAGGCTGAGGGTCCAAAGATAGAGGTGTGAAAGGATCATCAGCGGGGTGAAATTGGCCTTTGTAAGTAATTAAGTCTTCAACAATAAAAGTAGGGTGATAGCCAAAGTGTGACGGTAAGTCAATGAAATATGCATTTGGACCAACAGGCTTTAAAATTTTAAAAGGACCAGCACTACAAACTTGTAATTTGGAAACAGGTCCAGATGGACGCCGTTCCAGCCTAATTCGAATCATAACATAATCCCCAACATTAAATTCAACGTGGCATTTGTGCAAATCAGCTCGAAGTTTATATAATGCATTACTTACTTCCAACTGTTTATTGATCTCAATATGCAAGTCATGCAAATATTGTGCAAAAGACTCAGCTGACACGGACACACTAGCATGTGAAGACATGGGAAGAAGGTCTAACGGCTTCCTAGGCTTAAAACCATGAACTACCTCAAAAGGACTCATACCTATCAACCGATTCACTGAACTGCTATATGCAAGTTGGGTAGTAGGAAGAATTAAGTCCCAATTCCTAAGATTTTCCTAAACTAGACACCTTGACAGATTACCAAGACTACGGTTAACAACTTCGGTTTGACGGTCCGTTTGTTGGTGGTATGCAGTAGAGAATTTCAGTTTAGTGCCAACCATACTCCATAGGGTTCGTCAAAAATGGCCAGTGAAATGAACATCCCTATCCGAGACAATGGTCTTAGGGAGGCCATACAGCTTGACAATCTCATGGAAGTATAACTTAGCAACCTTAGATGCATCGAAAGTCTTGTTACAGGGAATAAAGTGTGACATTTTCGAGAAGCGATCTACGACAACAAAAATGGAGTCGTGTATCTTTGGAGTACGTGGCAACCCTAACACGAAATCCATACTAACGCCTTGCCAAGGACAACTAGGGACGGGGAGAGGAGTGTAAAGGCCTGTGTTCTACCTTTTTTGCTTAGATCGTTGACAGGTGTTACATGTACTGACAATCTTGGCCACGTGTGTCTTTAAACTGGACCAATAGAATTGACGTTCAATTTCCTCTATGGTCTTATCACGCCCAAAAATGTCCAGCCAACCCACCAGCATGACTTTCCCACACTATAAAGTCTCGCACTGAAGTCCTTGGGATGCACAACTTATTGAATCTAAAAAAGATAGCCCTCCTCCAAACGGAAACCATCAGTGGTG